ACCGGGCTCGATATCCAAAGGGAGTCTAACGAGAGCAATCATAACCTGCAACAATTCAAGTTTAGTACAAAGTCCACCCAACACACCATTAATCCCGCTGTATGTGGCATACACTTTAGCTGCGTGCCAGAGCAGAGGAAACTTGCGCGCCAGGAATGACCGGTTTGGGTCAAGGCCGGTAAGATAGGCAATGTCTGTGGCAACCTTGATCATTCGTTCTTTGAAATCAGCACGGTTGTACTTCTATTTCATTCCCCGAGTTAGTACACAAAATCCCATGCCTGAATTGGGAACTTCAAGACGCCCTACCTCGCTCAGAAAGATTTTGATGGTTCCCTCCGCCATGGCTTGTTGCAAATGGGGTTGGATATCGACGGCATCCGCACCCGCATTGGCGACTAAGCCTTCGGCAGCTTTTTCAAAAAGCGGCCAGACTTCAAGTTGTCGTACAGGTCAACATGACGCATCCTAGATATCACAGAGGTGGCATCAGATCCTTACTCTCTGGTACGATGTGGTTCATTCGCCGCGTTGAGAAAGCTCTCATGGTGCCGTCTATGTCTCGAAAAAAGGATCCTCCGTGGAGATGGCGAATCCACGTAATGCCCAGCATCTGAGAACAGCGCCGTTAGACTATGAAGCGGCATGATGCGATATTACATCCCTACCCCTGCTAGTCCGCCTTCGAAACTGAATGACGACTCGTCTGTAAGAACTCTTTGGGCATGTTTCCTTGGCGACGAGATAATCGATCTGCAAAGAGGGTCTCAATACCTATGTGGTCAAGGAAGTCCGTGAATTGCTGAGTGTGGCTTACATTCCCATTGCGCTTGAAACCGACAACTGAGCCGTGGGTACGCAATGCCCTCGACATGGACTGAATTGGTGTATGGTAGATTTCTTCATCCTTGGAAGTGTCAGCATATGGCCCCCAAAATTTTCCGGTGTTAGGCTGGGTAGCCTACAGTCAGAAGCGCCAAGTGCGGCAAACGTCCATGCTTTGACGGCTGTTAACTCGGGTTGAAGCCGGTGACGGTTAGCAGCTTTCGAGCCGTTTGACCTGGTCGTATCGCGAAATGCTTGGCTTACGCTTATTCCAACACGATAGCATTGCCATACTAAGGCAAGGGCAAGGCATATGCCGCATATAATTGCAAGTTGGCGGGCTTCGAGGAGCCCCGATAGCGGCCCCAACGGGGAAGAAAGTGTACTCAGGAGCATTTACGCAGCGTGGAGTCAAAAATGAATATATCATCGGTCATCACACAGGCATCAGTGAGGCAGATCGACCCAATTTTATCTCTTTACTGAGACGTTGTCCGTCTCCTGTGCTCCCGCTGCGTATACCGCCAGTGGTGACGATGTGGGCACTGGGCTGCAACTGGGCCACGGCGTCCATTTGCAGAATGTAAGACACAGCTGAGCGGGGGGGTATTGATCTGCCGATGCAGAGGTCAACAGAGTACTTGTACGAATTCCATCGTGAGTTGGCAGATTTTCGGGTGGGACGATTCGTCCCGTCTTGCGCCTAGCCAGTAAGCAGAACCAATAATAGGCTCGCCCATTGTGGCGGTAAACGTGTTTGTCACTCGCAGCGCCATGAGATCGACAATGTCTCAAAATTGTGGAAGATAGGGCATCTCGGGGATGGTTTTGGCGGTGTGACACAAGGGCTGAGCAAAAAAATCAACACAAGATCCATCACTCCCATTGAAAAGGAAATTATGGACCTTTTAATCCCACCATCACCTTTGGGCATCTTTTGGGGCTGGCGAAAGTCTACGTCTTGAGGTCCTAATCAGCTTTTTCTCGGACGAACAGAGGGGCTGGCAACGCATGCAAATATTAGGAAACGAAGCAGCGAGCTTGAGCAATGTTGGAGAGGAGACAGATAAAACTGAACCTGTGTATTGTTGGATTCGCCATATAGAACTTTCTGATGGATACCAGCACCGGAAACAGCCATGGCACCGGAAACGGTTATGGTACCGAAAACGGATTCATGGAATTTTGGCAGCACAAAGACTCGGGTTAACTCAAGGAGACAAAGGAAAGATTTAGGATAAAAACCACTTGCTCTGAAGAACTCTGAGAGCAAGAGGGGGACAACAATCAATTTTCTTTCTCCGCATTTTTGTTTCCCTCTGAGTGTAGATTTCAACATGTATAACTAGTCATAAATAAGTCAGGACTCCAACGCTTTGAGAGTTGAATCTGAATGCTGAAGCCCATGCGCACTTTTAACTTGTTTTTATAGCGCAGACAGCGGTAACTGGATGGCCGGCAAGCCCCCGAAGGTCGAAATGAGTGACACCTTCCGGCCCCTCTCGGGGACCTCGTCCGGTCGTTCGAAATGTAGCGGTTGGCTCGCTATAGAGGCGGCGATGGCCCAGGAACGTCAACAGGATCTCGCCAGGCAAAAAATTTGGAGGCTCGGCCGGTGGGTTCTGTGTGATGAGTCAGCAACCCTACCGCAAGGTTGTGTGCTTCCAAAAGTTGTCTGCCATCGCTGGGTGGCATGTGTTGTTGGCGCCTGCCTAATGCGGTGAGTGGTACCCAGTTTGCCCAACGCATTATCCGTGACTTTAAGAACCTTAACTTCGAATCTTGAGATTCTCAAATTGAACGGGCAAGCCGTCGACGAGACCGGATGATGGTCAGCTGGTGGGGTCACGGTGCGTACCGTGTGCTGTGGTACACAAGAGAGCCCAAGCATGAATGAATGTACCTTGCAAGACGCCTCATCCCCCCGCCCAACTCAATGGCCGAATGCAGGGCCGCTGCGCCCCCAACAGTCTGGTCATGCCCCAGCACGTCTCGAGTACCAACAAACTAGATGTGGAATGTTCTTCCGATTTTTTTGTCCCTCTTGAGATGCGTTAAATGTTCATTCAAGGTGCACTGTCATTGTCGTCGAGATCGAGGCCAACAAAGGTACAAATTCCTTTAAATATCGAGACTCTTCTAACCTTAAAAGGTCACTACGCCCCAAACTCGAATCAACGCCTCAAACTTTCACAACACCACCCCAAGATTCCTTACCTGGCAATAGCACACCACCCGCACCCCACAACGACCCAAACAACCATGTCGCACATTCCCACCACCACCCCCGCATCCGCGGCAGCAGCACCAAAACCAACAAACCCCAACCCGGACACCAAACCCACCAACCCCCTCTACAACCCAACCCTCCCTACCGACCGCTCCCTGTTCCGCCAACCCCTCCGTCCAGCACCCGACGCAACCGCCCTCTGCGCACCCTACATCCCCTCCCCCTCGACCCTCCCCACTCTCACCACCACCACCACCCGGCCCCCCAACCCCAACAACGTCCTCCTCCTCATCCCCACAGCCAACGCCTCCAAAACGGCCCTCCTCACAGCCCACCTCGCCGCCACCCGCCCGCCGCACATCACCTCCCTCACCCACCTGCAGATCCCCGCGGACTCGGGCGTCGGCGAGCAGCCGTACGACGGCGCCGGTCCGCGGGGGGCCTTCAACCGCGTAGTGGGCGCCGTGCACGCGCTACAGCGGCAGGCGGAGCGGGGGACGTACGGGGAGGTGTTGAGCGGGGTGGGCACGGTGGTGGTGGGGGCGGTGGAGAATTTTGTGAGGAGGGAGAGGGCTGCTGGGGAGGGGGGAGTGCTGGTGCCGGTGGATTATGGGGTGGTGGTGTTTTGTCGGGTTTCATTGGCGCCTGGGGAGGAGAGGGCCCGGTGGGAGTGGAGGGTGGGTGTGTCGAAGGGGGTGATGGTGCCGAGAGAGTATTGGAGGGCGGCGGAAGGGTTTGGGTTTGAGGATGATGAGCGCATGCATGGGAAGGTGACCGTGGGGGAGGTGCTCGCGGCGAATTTGGGGGTTGATAAGGCGGATTGGTTTCTGTCGTTGATGGGTGTGTCGAGGTATGACTTGCTGAGGGATGCCATGGAGGAGATGGAGGTTCCCTGGCCGGCTGCTGGGAATGCGCCAGTTGCGGTGTCAAAGGCATTTGGAGCCTAGGTCGGTGTACAACCTTGAGTTTAGATCCGCTACGACCATATATTAGACTAGAAACTACCTCCTCTTCAGCACTGTACATTTTGAGTTGTGTCAATGGCCTTGAACTGGCTACAGTCTACATGGAATGACCCTCCACAACCTCCTTCTCAGACCCCGCTCCCCTCCTCCTCTCACGGCTGTGCTGCCTTCTCGCGCGCCTCTTGTGGATGAACGTCCCGTGTCGTCAAGCTCTTCCACAGCGCGCGAAGCCACTTTATCTGCTGTTTGAAGAACCGGGTGATAGGATCGCTTTTGGCAAGCCACACCCGCCACACTATCACGATAACGAAGGTGGCCGGGACAGTGGTCACAAAATATATCCACAGCTTGTTGGACACCTGCCACGACCCGTCTTCGTCGCTCATATTGAAGAAGGTGGTGCTGAAGAGAGCCTACGGCTAGTTAGCGAGAATAAACGGGGACACAAGTTGTTAAGACCTACCGAAATGAAGGTTGCGGGTAGAAAAATCATAGTTAGAAGCGCAATCGACTTCATGACGCTGTTGTCCTGGCGAGCCAGACTGTTGAAGGCCTACTGAGCGTGAGTTCCCACTCGCCATTACACGAGCGTATGTTCCGTTACATACCAGGTTGACCTCATTTTTGAGCCGTTCTTGGTTGGAATCAGACCGCAGCTTCAGAGCCTTGACTAGTGAGATTTGGAACTGAGCGTAGTCCTTAGCCTGCTCTCTGTACGTCTCCCCTAGATCGGGATGTAACCTGTGGTGAATGGCGATCCGACAGTGCTGCATTTCCTTTAGTGTGTCGATGCTCGCCTCGAGAATCTCGGATGTGTGAATCGCGTGGCGGGACATCTCGTGGATGGGCCCGAAGATGGCACCGGTCCGCATACGGGTCTGGGATCGGTTAGCCCTGTATGTGCCTGATTGTCGGACAGTTTGCTCCTCACCTTTTCGAGGAGCCGCACGGGGTCTCGCACTCGCCAAACCGAGATGTCCGCATGCACGACTATCTGGTCAATGAGGCTGGTATGCATGGCAAACGGGTCTTGGAAATTGAGAGGCTCAGGCCGCCTCTCCAGGAGCCTGTGCAACTCAAGGGGGAAGTCTTTTGGCAGATCGACGCACAAGACCTGGGACAGGCCCGAACGGTCCCATCGAGTGAAGAAGGACATCTCGAACCATCTGTAGTCTTTCTTTGTACCTTCCACATATTCCTCACAGTTGTCATGGGCGTCTTTCCCATCCACCTTCTTGACCATCTTTATGAGGCACCGGAACCAAGTCGCTTCATCGTCAGCCTTTAGCAATGTCGGTGGGATCAGTCGGGAGCATACTGTGGCTTGTAACATGCTTGGCGGGGGGTGCCACTTGGTCATCGTAGCTTGCCTTGCTCCCAAAGTAGCCGTTGAGCTCGAAGCACGTATTATTTGCTACGAATTTGGGTACGTTGAAGTGAGCGAGCAACTTCTCGCGCTGTTCCTCCGTGGTTTTATAGTCGATTACATCGAGAAAGCTGGGCCGGTCAGTCATGAAAGGCGGGCTTGGCGGATAAAATGAGGTAGTTCTCACATATAACACTGTTTGGGTAATGCGGCCAGCTGTGGGTTGGTTAGTCTTGTTGGCGGTTTCCTGGCTATCCCACTCATGTAAACCTACTGCCTCGATAGAGAAGGTCCTCCTGTCCAACTCCCACCGGTTATTCGGCACTGCGATCGGTCAGTTGACCCATACCAGCTTTCCTGTAAATCCAGGAGCCGTGGAATGAAGGAGACTGACAGGGCTCGAGGACGAGCATCTGCGGCGTTGAATCGGGTGGTGCCATGGGATGAAAGCTTCGCCTCTTCGGAGGGTTTGCGAGGGGGAGCGTGAGGGACGTTGTCCGGGGCTGACTGCGTAGTACATGTATGGACCTTACTCAAGGGGGCGAGCCCTTGAATAAATGATTCCAGAGAAAATTAGAGTGTCAATAGAAAGCTGCCATGGGGGCCAAAATCTTGGAGGGAACGGACGTATCGGCGGTCAGCTACTTTAAGCCTCTGCTCCGCCGGGCTGCGCTTCTCGCGCATAAGCTAAAGCACCACTTTGCTCGCACAGCCTGACGAGGCAAGATGTGGTTGAGCCGTCCGCCAACCGTGTCCCGAAGATCAAGGGTGCTGGCCCTGCCGTGGCCCAGCTGGGCCGCTCACTTGCAGCTTCTTGGCCTGATTGGGCAGAGACGTCCAACCCCTGCCATTGTTTCAAAACAAGCACTGAACCGCGGCGAGCGACAGTCATACAAGAATTGCAGTGTTCTTCCAGAGGTGATTTGATGTTGGTTCCTGTCCGGGTACCAGAAAAACAATGATATGGCTAATAAAGGTCGTGTGAAGGCCAGCCGATATTCCGCTTCATGCACATAGATCAGTTGGGCTCACCGACTGGCCTGGTTGAGTGAGCCCTGGCTGAGCCCTGCCCGGGTTGCCTGTTGCTCGCTGAGACCCTGCTGCTCTTCCACTCATTTTTGAAATGGTGCTCACAAGGCTGCGTGGTACTAAGGTAGGTCTCTTCCTTGGCACAATGTGATCGTTTCCATTTCCTGAATCAGTGTGGGACCTCAGAAAGAGCCATGTTCCGGTCTTGCATTTCTTCGGCTAAAAGACACGAGAGAGCCAAAGTTTTGGGGGTCAGGTGTTTGCAAGGTTGAGCTTGCAGGATTTCGAGCTTGCGGTAAGTGGGGCCAGTTGCATGGCCGTTTTAGTGGGGCTTAGCTGGACCTCACATTTTGCGGGACGGGTCATCTTTCAACCGTGCGCCCACACACGCAGGTAGCCCTGGCCGAAATTTCCAAATTCGCGAAAACCCACGAGAGAGGGACCGATCGACCGACGACACCGCACGACAACCACCCTCACCACATCACGACCGGATCCAGCCGTCAAAATGGTCAACGTTCCCAAGACCCGGAAGACCTACTGCAAGGGGCGAGAGTGCAACAAGCACACCCTCCACAAGGTCACCCAGTACAAGGCCGGCAAGGCTTCCTCGTTCGCGCAGGGTAAACGCCGTTACGACCGCAAGCAGTCCGGTTACGGTGGTCAGACTAAGCCCGTCTTCCACAAGAAGGCGAAGACCACCAAGAAGGTCGTCCTTCGGCTGGTAAGCTTCTGCCCCATTGCGAAACTCGGGATGCGGGGCAGCATTGGCTAAACTGGGTTGGATAGGAATGCTCGTCATGCAAGACCAAGAAGCAGCTCCCGCTCAAGCGGTGCAAGCACTTCGAGCTTGGGTAAGTTTTCCCCGATGTGCATTTTGTTTCTGTGCGAGAGAGACCGCCGAGATATCCGAGACCGCGATGTTCGATTTCGACGAGCCGCCAACCGTGGCGCACCCGACCCGACCGAGCTACACCCACGCAGAGGATAATGGAGGATCTGGTGGAAGATGGTGAGGATATCTGGCCTGGCGACCAATGGGATCGGAAATCACGAGAGACGGGAAAACCGATGCTGTCGGGAGCAACCTCGATTCTGCTCAGTGCTGTCGCGCGACACAACACCCAGAGCGCTCTGCCTGTCGTTTTGATCGCAGAAGGTCTCGGACAATTCACGCTCTTTGCGGAGGGTGGTCAAAAACGCATACCAGGGCGACCTCGACCGGTGGCAAGTCCCATCTTGCGACCCCTCCTATCGAACTCAGATCGGCGGTCTCTCTTAACCATTTTGCACAGCACGCAGACAGATCGTTTCTGACATTCGGATACAGTGGTGACAAGAAGACCAAGGGTGCCGCCCTCGTGTTCTAAGTGCGTCACAGTTAGGGAAGTCGGTGGTGACGAAATGAGGGCATGGCTTCGGTCCTTCGGAAGCTGGCCGCGGATGGCCCTGCCCGCCATGCGGTGGGAATCCAGAAAGCGATTTCGATCTTGGCATGGGGGAATCCGGGCATAGAGGAACATGTACATGGGCATGGGTGGTTCGGACGTGGAACAACAAGCACAATACCATCCTTGGGGCGTTTCGTCTGCGCTTTTTATTCACGAATAATGCTTCTAGTCCGCGCGCGTCAGGTGTTTGGTCCCCGCGAGCCCTCTTGTTGGAGGGGTTAGGAGGCACCCGTAGCTCTCGAATGCCGAATGCCAAGCCGTTTGCCCATCACGCGGCAGACAAAGTCAACAACGGTCACGGTTGCAGTTTGGAAGAGTGATTCAACGAGCGACCAGGAATGCCAGTTTTTCTTGCCGAGGAATGCTAGCCCGCACATCGTTCCCAGAACTCACCATCCCCAACAATTTTAGGAGGGGTTTGTCCAGGACCGACCGCCACGTCCAGACCCTGCGTTGGCCAAGTCTAGCGCGTGGATTTTTATAAGCCTGGCCGATGGGAGAAAAGGATCATTAACGGACTCATCGCGGCACATGAGCATTGCACACGATGTGATGCTCCACGATGTCCAAGGTTGCAAGGACGCAGAACGATCTCAAGAGATGACTGGGTCTCTTATTTTTGTGCCACCCACCATGGCTAGCTCGTCGAGTCATCAGCCATCGCCAATCCCGATGTGACAACGGAGATCCGAGACGATGGTAGGGGTTTTCGGTGTTGCTTGCTGGCATCAGCCCTATCGCAGCCACCGCCATCGCCAATAAAGCGCGCTAGCTAAGAGGTCGGAGTAAAGCTACGGGAGACTAATGGTGAAGTGTGGCTTCAGCCGCACTGCAGCCGTTCGGGTCTGGAAGACTCACCCCAACGCTCGGGCAGACAAAGCTCGCCCAATATGAAGACTCCGATGCCCGTGGTTGCAGGCTCACCTGCGTCCCGATTTGGTTTATGGTCATGGAAGTCGACGAAAACCCACAGCAAACCGCGGTGTCAACTTTGGTGGCCGCAACGAGCAGTTGAAAGCTACTGTCCGACTTGGAGGGCACTCAACAACAGCAGCAGCCAAAGAGTTAACTCAGATCTTGCTAACCGTTGCTGTGTTTCACGGCGCTGCAGTTGAGAAACATGCAACAACCCCTGATCCGCCCAGAAGAAAATCGAGCCGCCTATTCATACACTCTACAGTCCACAGAGGATCACGAACATGATGAAGAGCGGACGGGTAATACCCCCAGGGGGCGGGAATCACCTGTGTGGCGACCAGGAGACACACCGAACTACAAGCCCATACCGCTGCGATGGCCGTTCATCGGCACCGTCATAGCACTCCTACTTGTGGTCATCATGCTCGTTATTGTCGCTGAACGCCGAATGCCAAACTCGGATAGCGATGTCCGGATCCTGGGTGTTAATCCTAATGCCACACAGCCAGTCCGGTTCGCGCGAGCTGTTTTCTCCAACACGTCAACCCTTGAGGCCGGAGTGGCTACCACAACTGATACCCCAAAATCGCCCTCCACCCTTCCCTCCACCACCTCTTCGCAGTCCACGAGAAGCAGCTCCACGACCAACGAGCAGATAAGAGTTCTCGCTCAGAGTGTTACCGAAACGAACAGCCAACCTCCAACGCCCCCCCTTGTTCCTGCGTATATCCCGACGCGATCTCTGCCATCGTCTGCTTCAGCATCTCCACTCTCAACAACACTTCCTAAACCTACAACCTTCTCGGCATCAGAGACCACGCCCCGGGCACTCGCTGTTCCAGTTTCACACAGTGGCAGCACACAACTCAACTTGCAAAATGTCGCTACCCAGTCCTCGTCGACCAGTACTCTATCAACCCGGGCAATCGGCACATTGAGCTCTGTTAGCGGTACCGCTAGTGTCCCAAGCGGTGCTCGGGTGATCCCAGTATCGACTTCAATCTCCAAATTCACCACCAGTATCACCGCGCCAATAACAACTGTCACCTACACATCGGTCTTCACGTCAACCCAGACGGTCGTGTTTACCAGCGACTCAACATTCGTGACCACAATCCTGTCCACCGTCACTGACGTCAGCCCCACGACATTCTACTCCCACTTTACGGTAAATGGGAACCCAGGCCAGCATGCCCATGTCGACTGCGACACGGACCTACACGAGTGTTATCACGCTGAACATCGAGTGTGACCTCTGGGGCCACGACGGCATCAACTATAACTACGGTTGGCACGTTTACTGGTACAAGCACCGTCACGGGCGTCGTCATACCGAGCGTGGGGGAGGTCACCATCACATACTACAGGACCATCTTCCCACCCAATGAATTGCCCGTGACCAAACCGCCGGACCCTGTGAAGGTGACTGGGGTGGAGGTTATTGAGGGCACGGCCGTGGATATTGTGCAGACACAAGGGCCTGTGGTTGTAGTCGTCGCCCCGTCGAACAAGGTTGAAACCCAAGTCGTTGGCCCACAGGTCAGCACGGGGATGGCACGAGTGGGAGGGTCGGTGGTGACGAATGTTGTGATTATCACCCCTACGCCGGGGCGGCCGGCCCAGGTGGTCACCACAGTTGGCGGAACACCGGTAACAGTGGTTAACAACCCGGACCCGGTGACTGTAGTGAGGGAGGTTGATGGTCTCCAGCGCACCATCGTCGAGACCCCGCCTCCTCAGACCATTGTCAGCATTCAAGGGGGTGTCGCTACCACGATCATGGGGGGACAACCTGTCACCAACACCATCGTCGGAAACGTTGGGGGCACGCCGGTCACCCGGGTCTTTGTTACAACACCCGCTGGGCCGCCTTTCCAACCAGTCTCATACACGGTCGTCAAAGACGCCGGAGGAATCTTGGTGACGGAAATCATTGTCACCACACCTACCGCCGCCGGGCAACCACTTACGCTTACGGCTGTTGATATCGTCGGAGGAAGACCGGGTTACGCAAGTTGTGGTGACGACTGTCAATGGGGCTGGTGGCCCGGCCGGTTTTCTTTTACCATCACAACCAATGTGGGCGGTACTCCGACGGTTATCACCATTACACCGCCTCCGACAACGACCGTGGAAACCAATAACGGCACTCCGGTCACACGGGTGTTCACTCCACCGGTAACCAGCTTCACAACCACCATCGGTGGCAGCTTAACGACTCAGGTCATTTCTGAGAGAGAGGAAAAGATCCCAAGCACTTCACTGTATGTGTGGAAACTACGAGTATGCCTTTCTCTTTTTCATTCTCACAATCACCATACAACCCCGGTAGCTGGATAAAGATAAGGGGGGGGCGAGGAAGTGAACTATCACCTTCACCCCTTCAACATGCTCTCTCATCGCCACGCGCCCTACCCAAGCTGAGAGTTCACATAACTACTGGCTGTCGGAGCACCTCGCAGACGCTTCCCACTGTTGACTAGTGCATCGAGTCTCTTCTTCTAGAAGAGAGCGGGAACTTCTCAGGTGAGAACATATCCTGCCCTCGCCGAGACAGCGCCTCTATTTCTCGGTCCGGAGAAATAAACCGACCTAAGGCAGGGCTACTCACTAAAAGGCTCTTCCCGGGTGTTAGCCGTTGGCTTCCGGGAATTATCTGGGAAATACCCTTGCGCCTTGATTTAGCCTCGCCTGCGAGGGAATGGGATCTGGTCTCACAGGCAGACATCAAAAGTGCGGCCTTCATTGCCCGCAGACACTAAACTCGAGGGCGGAGGGGGTACCCAGGGATGGGGAAACCAATCCTCCCTGGGATAAAGTTCCGCCCGTCTGACTCGAAGGAAAATAAC